CTCCCACCATCCATCGTTTTCCCATTCCTCTCCCATCTCGCATTATAAGCAATATTAGGTAACGATACTAAAATACAGCAGAAAATCTAATATAAGCACTTCACACGAAAACTAGTCGATTTCAATTGTTTCCTATAAAAGCACGTAAGTTACATACTTTGCCAATCTTCAAGATCATTATCATAGTCCATGTATGCTTCAACTGCATCACACCATCTTTCCTCCATCTCACCACCATTACCATCATCACCAATTATTACTCCACTAAAAATCACACTTACTTTCACACTTTCCATCGCGTCATCCAATGACAAACTCACACTTGTATCATTCCAATCTAAACACAAATTACATTCGAACGATCACCATTCTCGCCACTCATTTCACTTACGCAACACTTGTTCATCAACTACATGTCCTTCTTCAGTCAATCCTCTCACTTCAATCCACACGCCAACACTCGCATTCCCATCCAACCCTAATCGCTTCCCTCTTTTTCCTGTCGTCTCATTCCATATCTTTGACGAAACAATGTTTTGTATCATCACACCTGTACTGTTCGATGATTGTAAAGCAAAGTAACAGTGATTCTCATGTGTATTCCACATTATAATGCTGATGTTTCCACTTTCTAGTGTCCAGTGATCAGTCAACGAGCCGTGACATCGGGCTCTGCCATCACTAATGAGATTTACATCATGCAGAAGTGTTCCATTAGAGAATCGAGCATCGTGAACTGTCAGAGCCTGCTTCAACATGTCTATTGTTGCATTACTACCCATGAAGTCACTTTTGTGAAGATTGGTGAGAGTGAAGTTCACATCGAAAAGATCTGCTCTGACAAACATGACCGCCTTTGCATTAGCAACCGATAAGTCACAGGATGAAAGAATGGCTTGTACGAAATGAGCTCCGATGCATTGAGCTCGCTGAAAGGTGGTGTTTGATAGGTTTGCATTGGCAAAATTAGTCGCAGTCAAGATGGTAGATGAGAACGACAAATTCGTGGCTAGAGTTGCTGAAAAGTCTGCTTTGCGTACATTGGCTAGTGAGTAGGTGAGATGATGAAGTACGGCGGATGAAAATGTGACTTCTACCATCGAAGAATTTGAGAAACTAATATGGCTTAAAGAAGTGAATGAAAAGTTAGTCATCCGTAGTCTAGTGGACACAAATTGAACATTTTCCATTTCACTATAGCTGAAGTTCACATTGCGTAGTGTTGCATATGAAAATGTCACATTCACCAATCGAGCAAATGAGAAGTCACTTCCATCCATTACTGTATGTGAAAAGTCCACGTTTTCGAAACGAGTATCAGAGAAATTTGTGTTTGTCATGCGAACATTCGTGAACGTGACGTTATTGAAAATGACACCGGTAAGTGATAGTTGGTCAAGAGTTTTTCGGTGCATAGCAAAGTGACTGAAGTTGATGTGAGAAAGTTCAGCTGTTGAAAGATCTAGTGCTGCATGTTGATGTACTGTGGAGAGCTGATTGGCTTCGTAAAGAAAGAAAATGATGCGAGCGATTCGATGAGTTTCAAGATGGCGAAGCACATTCAAAGTCTTGGCTCGTATTAGAGAAGCAATGGTTGAACTCGATGTGAGATGTCCATGAGTAGCTTCCAACAAATCACCTGTGTCTTTGATATAAGCCTCGAAAATATCGTTTTGATATTTGTCATCGGCCAGGTGCCGCTCTAATTGTCGTTGTTGCATGGCAGTTTGTTTATCTTCACTTCGTTGTTGATTAGCGATGCTCTGTTGCTGGACAGTAACGACAATGGTGAAAATAGCAAGAACAATGGGTACCAATAGAGAGAAGATGAATTTCAAGATGTGAACGAGTTTTCCATTGCGACAACTAGAGTTGTGAGATGAAAATTGATTCGATCGTGTTTCACTACATAAGAAAAAAGATAATAATAAAATTAACAGGAATAATACTCAACCTCGGGGCATCTGATTCCGGTATTTCTTCCATTTATTTTCTAAAATGTGTTAACAAAATACAATATATCTGGTATTTATATTATTTTTGATATTGTTCAAATATTTTTCAATTAAACTGGAAAATCCATGACTTTTCAATGCAGTCAAACACGTCAATGTGTTACAAACACTTAAGTGAGAACGACACTTTTTAATAAATTCTACAATCTGACGTTTCACCTAAGCGGATTATTTTTGACAGACATAAAAAGTAATATTTATTAATTCTGGGCGAAAGTAGAAGTGCTAGTTTACTTAATATACGAGTTTATCACAGAACGTTTTTTTACTGAATGCGCCAACGATCACACATAACAGCTACAGCCGTATTGGAAAATAAGGATAAGGATGACTGTGAGTGTGACTCACCTAGAATTTGATCGAATGGTCACTCGATTTCACTGTGTGTGAATTTTATCGGTACAATTAGGTATGGATAGACAGATACACCTCATTAATTGGAATATTATTGAAGGTTTCTATCATCTGTGTTGGTCAGAGAACTCACGAGATTGAAGGAATGATATTAACGGCAAAAAGTAAATATATAGCTTTCCCGTCTTTTCATTGGCTTGCTATTTGATGACAATACGTTTTATTCGGAGAGCATCTCAACAAATCACTTGCTAAGAAGCTCTACACATCTGTGTTCCATTGTTATCTTACGTACATTGATTTATATTTAGATGAAACATGCGTTAAGCCAGAAAGATCTAGCTCCAGCAGTATGAAATATCATTTCAAAAACATGCACAGTGTGAGACATAATGTCTACTATGCTTTTATTCTCTATTCTTTCCAAATCAACGGACCTTTTTTTATGGGTATAGAGAGGAGTTCAAATTTATGGATTAAATTTTGGCAGTTACTGCTATTGCGAACGATGTCTGTATAATAAATTTTGTCATCTTTAGAAGTGGCCACGGTTCATTGTCGATTAAATCCTCCTTGTTATATTTTCCAACAAGAGTTTACAGTCAGCCAAGTCTAACTTTTATTTGATGCTAAACTTGAAAACCCAGTAAATATTAAAGTCACATTTAACGAAAAAAAAAACACGAGATGACAAATAACTAGACAGATAACGATTTTTAATTGCAGCCGAAACGCGTTCTCTTTTACCACTGTCGCGACTGAGGACAATATTTATCGTGTAATCATTTTTTGTATATGCCATTTATCTAAGTACAGAAAATAGTATAAATGTCTATATCAAATATATTCAGCGTGATTCTTAAAAAAGAATCGAATGACTATCAATTTTTTCCTATATTGGATGTACAAGTAATTATCAATCTCTATTGCATGCAAGAATCGATTTTTTGAATGCGTTTGAGTTTATAAAAAGTGACTGTCATCAATTTTTTTGCTATCCTGGATGTTTCCTATCGTGAGATTCCAGATTAGACAATAGACTTTTTTGTTTCATCGATTTTCGACTATGTTCAATATCAGAAATGAATTCATCGATCCACCTTCAATAAATTTGTTATTTTTTGACGAAAATTCAATGCTTTTCTAAAAATCTTTTATTTTCCAGTGAAAACGAAATTATCACCACAATCATAATGTGGCCAGAATTGTACTATAGCTGCAGGCTCTGCAGATGGTATACCAGGCTCATCACTTTCTTATCTTCGTTATCGAATTGCTGTGATTGATCTTGATTCAGTCATAAATGAGTACAACATCGATTTGGCATCCAGTGTCATATCTAGTCACTTTGCATACCTATCTGACATTTTTATTATTAACTCATCACTGTACGTTGCTGAATGGAGAAGTCACCGCACACAGAAAATGTCGCCGAACAGATCAAATCTAAATATAGCATGTCAGTTAACCAGATTACACAGTTTTTTATATCTCTATATACCGATAAGGTTGGCAATCTATATGTGAGCAGCAGGAATAGTCACAGTGTGCTTGTTTTTTTTCGCTCAAATTCAACAAATGGGTCAGTATAGTCGCTGGTGACGGAGTACCTGGCAACAGTTCAACACATGTAAATTTGGCTCACTTTATGTCAGTGAGTGGGCAAATCGCAGAGTACACAAATTTGAACTTCTCAACTACCTTAGTGAGTTGTCGCTTTTTTCATTATGGCCAGTCAAAGACTAGCTGGATCGTTAAGTTTTAATTTTAATCATAAATATGAAATTTTCCTATCAGAAATATATCCACATTGGATAATAAAATGCAGCTTCAACTTTTGCAAGATTCTTAAAATATTTTTTGAAAAGAAGTACAAGAATACATTGCTTTATTATGTTTAATATGAATGACATTTGAAAAAGTTTGAAACATCAAAGATCACATAAAGAATAAAAGTGAATTCTTTCGCATTCTGTCGAAGATTGCAATCCACCTGTTATAAAGCTTATCCCATCTGAAGTAACATTAAAATTTCGACTTGACCAGTCTTTGACCAGTTATCAATTGTTCATCATCATGCGTGAATCACACAATCGAAGTACAAATCAATGATCTGTATATTCCATCTGAAACTCTTTCCTGTGGAACGTATCGAATTGAATTAATCGTTAAAGTGACGAAATGTTTTCGATCATTTCCTCGAGTTATATATGATAAGGAATCTTGTTTCACACGATGCGCAAACTTATTTCTCTTCTATTTAGGATTGATACTACGAATGTTAGTGTCGAATTTACTCATGCAATCTTCAAGAATTTCAAACATTTCAAGAAGCAACTCAAACTTGTCTGGTGGGTAAATGGACTTAGAGCAATGTAAATCGGTCATCTGTGACAATATTCAATAAAACACTACAACTGAATCAAACTTATCAATTTACGGTCAAAATCAATCATCATCATAACTCTTCTCTACATTCATTTGGTTTTTTAATCGTTCAAGTCGAAAATCTCGAAGTGCTCATACTCACTATTGAGTTATGTCAATCGTCATACACAATTCTTACTCTTTCCATTCTGTACAAATACTTGTTCACAAACAGTGAATAGTGCTTGGAATATTTATCAAGGAATGCTGAGTTCCTTCTTAAATAATACTATTCGATGCGATGAAGGATATTCTAATGGGTCAATATTGGCGATTCGAAGTTTTCTATCAGTTCGATTTTGAACTGAATGATAGACCACAAAATGGTTTCTGTTCGAATTGGTTCGATCGAGACAGTATTAGAGATTTCTTAGTATACGGTACAATTCTCATTTCTCTTCAATTAATAACAAACTTTGCCGGAAGAACATTCAAACGACGATGAAAATATCATTCCAATAATTTTATCAAGTAAGGATTTTATCTAAAGATCCATTTTAATGTGTTAGATGAGTTTTCACCGTAACTCCATCTCATCCGGATTCTTCGAATAACTTTAACTTCGATACACTTCAAATCGATATGCAAATATCCGTGAACAATTCATGATGATCATCAATAATTTATTCTTAACAACATTGAATGACATTAATACCTTACTGTCATCAATCCTTCCAATCTTGACTGAAATAACCAATCAATTAGCACGAAAGAGTCGAGTAACTATCAAACTAATTATTTCTTATTCATTTCGAATTGTTTTTCATATAGGTCAATGTATTGTATAAATGCTTGCAGTTATCGTTTTCTCTCAAAGCCAATACGAATTAGTTTTCATTTGCGTTTTAGAGTATCAATGGGTCTTCACAACAACGCATGGGCATTCTTCAAGTCGATCTACATCAAATTCGTGATTTCGTCCTCACAGATAAAAGCCTATGATCAAAGCCTTACTAAATCGATATTTTAGATGAATACGATCTTGATTCCTTGTTAACCGATCGGAATTTTGAATATCAAAAACAAATACCACTTCAACCGTCTTAGAAGCATTTCTTTCACGTAGGCCAATGAAATGACACACGAAAGCAATAAAATTCTTTCGTTAATAACATCAGTTTTGGATAGCTATCAAATCGATGTTGCATTAGATTCAACTGTGTTGATCCGTACAATGACGCAACTATTAGCTTTCTTTGGAAATGCTTTACAATCCCATACGAATATGTCGAAACTGTTTTCTCTTTCAACTTGTAATGAAAAGCAAACATTTTCAATTCAAATATTTTCTATTTATTGATTTATGAATTTAATAGCAAATCTCCAATAAATTCACTTCAAATTTAACCGCTGATCAAATGTATCTCCACTCTTTAGTGACAACTCGCTACCATCAATCTATCATTCAATTACTTATGGAATTCATGAATTACCATTCGAAGAAATGAATGAATATACTGTTCGAACCAAATACTCTCTCCAGTTATAAATCAACTAAGGAAATTCGCATCGAATTGATGGTTCTTTAGCGAACCATTACTAAATGCAATGCTTTTCAACACATTTATCATAACTCTGTCGTAACCAACGAATCAATTAAAAACCTTATCGAAGCAAATTGACGCGGCTACTTTTCATAGCTTTCTTCTTCTGAATATACTTTGATATTATTCTAAAAGAATTCCGTTTAGCAATCCAAAACTCGTTTGATGTCGTAACTAAAGTTTTTTCTGCGTTTGTACTCCTGAACGTATTTGAGCAGAATACCGACATATTTTAATTGTTCGTGGTATGTAAACATAACGAGCTTTTTGTTGAATGAGCAATTCTCATGATTTCTATATTGTCCAAAAAGAACATATGTCAACAGAAATAAATGATTTTCTTACTGAGGACAGAAAAGTCTTCTTCTAGGACAACAATAGTCAGGAATAACTTAGTCAGACATTGACAAAGCGTCTCTTAACTATTTATATTCAAATTTCTTCATTGTGGGAATAGAAACAGAGAATAGGGACACCTTAGCATCACGCTATTCCATTCACTAATCAACAACACGATAATGATTCTAGTGCAATGGCCGTGGCAAATACGGCTGTTTATCATTTTCAATTGTTCCCGTTTTGCACGTAAGTGAACAAGATTTTCATAGAAGCAAACGAAAACGTGATAAAAATTCCTAGTTGGAGGTTATAATCAACGATACCTTCTACACTATCTGCTGAAAGAAAGACCATACAATTCATTCGAACGACCAGTGCTCAACGATACACACACATTACCTGTTCGAATGAATTTGGCTTTACAACAAATCATTCATTATGTAAATAAAGATTGCGCTTGTCTCACACGTAATTCTGTTGGTTTATTGTTGACAGGATGCAAAAAATGAAGTTATTGTTCTGAGTGGCTGGATGGTTCTCGTATGTATATATTGCCATTATTTTCTTATTGTTTTTCTGTGTATTCGCATGTAGGCATGGAACGATTGTAATTTGAAATGGAATCCGAAGAATTTTGGTGGCATTGAAACGATACGTGTACCGAGTACGCAAATTTGGCTTCCGGATATTCTTCTCTACAACAGGTGAATTCAGTTTTTAAAGTTATCAAAACAGAGATTACTTGATTATGTTAGTGCTGATGAAAAATTTGATAGTACAATGAAAATAAATGCTGTTGTACAGCATACTGGTGATGTTCTATATGTTCCACCCGGTATTTTCAAAGCGATCTGTTCTTTTAATATTGCTTCATTTCCATTTGTNAACTTGATGTGAGTTGCCCATGAGTAGCTTCCAACAAATCACCCGTGTCTTTGATATAAGCCTCGAAAATATCGTTTTGATATTTGTCATCGGCTAGGTCCCTCTCTAATTGTCGTTGTTGCATGGCAGTTTGTTTATCTTCACTTCGTTGTTGATTAGCGATGCTCTGTTGCTGGACAGTAACGACAATGGTGAAAATAGCGAGAACAATGGGTACCAATAGAGAGAAGATGAATTTCAAGACGTGAACGAGTTTTCCATTGCAAAAACTAGAATTGTGAGATGAAAATTGATTCGTTCGTGTTTCACTACATAAGAAAAAAGATAATAATAAAATTAACAGGAATAATACTCAACCTCGGGGCATCTGATTCCAGTATTTCTTCCATTTAGTTTGTAAAATGTGTTAACAAAATACAATATATTTAGTATTGATATTGTTTTTGATATTTATTGTTCAAATATTTTTCAATTAAACTGGAAAATCCATGACTTTTCAATGCAGTCAAACACGTCAATGTGTTACAAACACTTCAGTGAGAACGACACTTTTTAATAAATTCTACAATCTGACGTTTCACCTAAGCGAATTATTTTTGACAGACGTAAAAAGCAATATTTATTAATTCTGGGCGAAAGTAGAAGTGCGAGTTTACTTAATATACGAGTTTATCACAGAACGGTTTTTTGCTGAATGCGCCAATGATCATATAGAACAGCTACAGCCGTATTGTAAAATAAGGATGAGGATGACTATGAGTGTGACTCACTTAGAATTTGATCGGATAGTCACTCGATTTCACTGTGTGTTAATATTATCGGTACACTTATGTATGGACAGACGGATACACCTGATTAATCGGAATATTATTGAAGGTTTCTATCATCTGTGTTGGTCAGAGAACTCACGAGATTGAAGAAATGGTATTAACGGCAAAAAGTAAATATATAGCTTTCCTATCTTCTCATTGGCTTGCTATTGTATGGTGACAAAACGCTTTATTCGGAGAACATGTCAACAAATCACTTGCTAAGATGCTCTAGACATCTGTGTTCTATTGTTGTCGTACGTTTAGATGAACATGTGTTAAGCTAGAAAGATCTAACTCCAACAGTATGGAATATGATTTCAACAAGGTGCACAGTGTGACACATAATGTCTACTACACTTTTATTCTCTATTCTTTCCAGACCAATGGACCTTTTTTATGGGTATAGAGAGGAGTTCAAATTTATGCGGTTCATAGTCGATTAAATCCTACTTGTTATATTTTCCAACAAGAGTTGACAGTCAGCCAAGTCTAACTTTTATTTGATGCTAAACTTGAAAACCCAGTCAATATTAAAGTCACATTTAACGAAAAAAAACCCACGAGATGGCAAATAACAAGACACATAGCGATTTTTAATTATGCAGTCGACACACGTTCTATTTTACCACTGTTGCGACTGAAGACAATATCAGCGTGATTCTTAAAAAAGAATCGAATGACTATCAATTTTCTCAGATGAAATCGTGTCATTATTTTTTCCCATATTGGATGTACAAGTAATTATCAATCTCTTTTTTTTTCTCTATCAAATAACAACCGTTATAAAATTATTATGTTTTGATATTTGGACGATGGAACAGAAGCCAGAATTGTTAAGTACAGGGTTAGTCTGTAATTTTCGACAAATTGCATGCAAGAATTGATTTTTTAAACGCGTTTGAGTTTATAAAAGGTGGCTGTCATCAATTTTTTTTGCTATTCTGAATATTTCCTATCGTGAGATTCCAGATTAGACAATAGACTTTTTTGTTTCATCGATCTCCGACTATGTTCAATATCAGAAATGAATTCATCGATCCACCTTCAATAAATTTCTTATTTTTTGATGAAAACTCAATGCTTCTGTAAAAATCTTTTATTTTCTAATGAAAACGAAATTATCACCACAATCATCATGTGGCCAGGATTACGCTATAGCTGCAGGCTCTGCAGACGGTATACCAGACTCATCACTTTCTTATCTTCGTTATCGAATTGCTGTGGTTGCTCTTGATTCAGTCATAAATGAGTACAACATCGATTTGGCAACCAGTGTCATATCTAGTCATTTTGCATACCTATCTGACGTTTTTACTATGAACTCATCTTTGTATGTTGCCGAAAGGAGGAGTCACTGCATAAGGAAAATGTCGCCGAATAGATCAAATCCAAATATAGCATGTCAGTTAATCAGATAGTACACGGTTTTTTATATCTTTATACCGATAAGGTTGGCAATCTATATGTGAGTAGCAGGAATGGTCATAGTGTGCTTGTTTTTCTTCGCTCAAATTCAACAAATGAGTCAGTAGTCGCTGGCGACGGAACACAAGCATCGGCCGATAAACGACTCAATAGGCCGCATGACTTATTTATAAATGATGCAAGAACTGTTTATATTGTAGATCGACATAACCGTCGAATCATGAAATGATTAGCTGGTGATGGAGTACCTGGCAACAGTTCAACACATGTAAATTTGGCTTACTTTATATCAGTGAGTGAGCAAATCGCAGAGTACACAAATTTGAACTTCTCAACTACCTTATTAGTGAGTTGTCACTTTTTTCATTATGGCCAGTCAAAGACTAGCTGGATTATTAAGTTTTAATTTTAGTCATAAATATGAAATTTTCCTATCAGAAATATATGCACATTGGATAATAAAATGCAGCTTCAACTTTTGCAAGATTTTTAAAATAGTTTTTGAAAAGAAGTACAAGAATACATTGCTTTATCATTTTTAATATTAATGACATTTGAAAAAGTTTGAAAGATTAAAGATCATATAAAGAAGAACTTAAGACGTTAATTACTTACTATGATTTATATTTTCTTTCCTATAGCTCCATATAACCAACCGAAATTCCCTCCAAATGACGCTATTTATCTATCTGATTATTCTAGTAATCGAGTTATCGCCTGGTATAATAAGAGTGTTGACTCATCACGACAAGGGAATACTCACCAATTGTGATACACACAAGTGTTTCTCACATTCAATGATAATATTTATTTTGAGAAGCGTTATGAGCCAAGTCTTACAGATAAGTTTCCAAAAAATTCAACAGCTTGTCACAAGAGTCTCAAGTTATTATCCTATGTTCTTTTTGTTGACATTAGAAACACATTCTACTGCTCTGTGTTTTGGGAACATCGAGTACTGGACATATCGCTCCCTAGTAATAATCGTTCAGCAATACGGATCACTGGAACAGGCGTCCCGGGATCAGGATCTTATCAAGCGGACCATCGTCGAGGAATATTTGTTGATATAAATTTTAATTTATATGTAGCTGATCGCGTAATCAATAGAATTCAATCCTTTCGACATGAACAGTTCAATGAAATTACAATGGCTGGAAATAATATCCCAACTGGTCTACGTTTGAATTTACCAATGGATGTGATACTTGATGGAAATGAATTTTTGTACATTGCAGACACTGACAATCATCGTGTTATCCATACGTCCAATTAACTAAACTATGCCTACGTTACTTGTTTCGATAGTTTAGAGAATTTGTATGTTTCTGATGAAGTGAACCATTGTGTTCAGTTATTCCATTTAGTCGAGAATATATGCAGTAGGTATCAGCAATAATGATACATAAAAGTGAATTCTTTCGTTTTCTTTCGAAGATTGCAATTCACGTGTTATCAAACTTTTCCCATCTGAAGTGACATTAAAATTATGATGTGATCAGTCTTTTCACATCAGCTCTAGAGTTGATCATCATTGTAATCAATCTGAACCATTCACAGTTCAATGGTCAGTTATCAATTGTTCATCATCATCATCATGCGTTAATCAAACAATCGAATTGGCTTAACCGTTAAAGTGACGAACTTTTTTCGATCATTTCCTCGAGTACATGATAACGAATCTTGTTTCACACGATGCGCAAACTAATTTCTCTTCGATTTAGGATTGATATTACGAATATTACTGTCGAATTGACTCATACAATCTTCAAGAATTTCAAACATTTCAAGAAGGAACTCAAACTCGTCTGGTGGGTAAATGGACTTAGAGCAATGTAAATCGGTCATCTATGACAATATTCAATAAAACACTACAAACTTATCAATTTACGGTCAAAATCAATCATCGCCATAACTCTTCTCTACATTCGTTTTTGGTTTTTTAATCCTTCAAGTCGAAAATCTCGAAATACTCATACTCACTATTGAGTTATGTCAATCGTCATACACAATTCTTACTCTCTTTGTTCTGTACAAATACTTGCTCATAAACAGTGAATAGTACTTGGAATATTTATCAAGGAACGCTGAATTCCTTCTTAAATAAAACTATTCAATGCGATTCATTCACTTCATCAGAAAGGTATCGCCATTCTTTCGTAGATCATCTTGAACGATAATCTCTGTTTCGAAATGTTTAAATCCCATATATTTGCTTGCGGATGAAGAATATTTTAATGGGTCAATATTGGCGATTCGAAGTTTTCTATCAGTTCGATTATGAACTGAATGATAGACCACAAAATGGTTTCTGTTCAAATTGGTTCGATCGAGACAGTGTTAGAGATTTCTCAGTATACGGTACAATTCTCATTTCTCTTCAATTAATAACAAACTTTGCCGGAAGAACATCCAAACGAGGATGAAAATATCATTCCAATAATTTTATCAAGTAAGGATTTTATCTAAAGATCCATTTTAATGTGATAGATGAGTTTTCACCGAAACTCCATCTCATCCGGATTCTTCGAATAACTTCAACTTCGATACACTTCAAATCGATATGCAAATAGTCGAATAACTATCAAACTAATTATTTCTTATTCATTTCGAATTGTTTTTCACATAAGTCAATGTCCTGAATAAATGCTTGCAGTTATCGTTTTCTCTCAAAGCCATAATGCGAATAAGTTTTCATTTGGGTCTTCGAGTATCAAGGGGCCTTTTACAACAACGTATGGACATTCTTCAAGTCGATCTACAACAAATTCGTGATTTCGTCCCCACAGGTAAAAGCCTATGATCAAAGCCTTCCTAAATCGATATTTTAGATGAATACGATCTTGATTCCTTGTTAACCGATCGGAATTTTGAATATCAAAAACAAATAGTAAGACAAATACCACTTCAACCATCTTAGAAGCATTTCTTTCACGTAGGCCAATGAAATGACACACGAAAGCAATGAAATTCTTTCGTTAATAACATCAGCTTTGGATAGCTATCAAATCGATGTTACATTAGATTCAACTGTGTTGATCCGTACAATGACGCAACTATTAGCTTCCCTTGGAAATGCTTTACAATCCCATACGAATTTCTCTTTTGGCTTGTAATGAAAAGCAAACATTTTCAATCCAAATATTTTCTATGTATTGATTTATCAATTTAATAGGAAATCTCCAATGAATTCACTTCAAATTTAACCGCTGATCAAATGTATCCCCACTCTTTAGTGACAAGTCGCTACCATCCAACCACCATTCAATTACTTACAGAATTCGTGAATTACCATTCGAAGAAATAAATGAATATACTGTTCGAACCAAATACTCTCTCCAGTTATAAATCAACCAAGGAAATTCGCATCGAATTGATGCTTTTCAACACACTTATCACAACTCTATCGTAATCGGCTACTTTTCATAGCTTTCTTCTTCTCAATATACTTTGATATTATTCTAAAAGAATTCCGCTTAGCAATCCAAAACTCGTTTGATGTCGTAACTAAAGTTTTTTCTGCGTTTGTACTCATGAACGTATTTGAACAGAATACTGATATATTTTAATTGTTCGTGGTATGTAAACATAACGAGCTTTTTGTTGAATGAGCAATTCTCATGATTTCTAATCATTTCTATATTGTCCAAAAAGAACACATGTCAACAGAAATAAATGATTTTCTCACTGAGGACAGAAAAGTCTTCTAGGACAACAATAGTCAGGAATAACTTAGTCAGACATTGACAAAACGTCTCTCAACTATTTATATTCAAATTTCTTCATTGCGGGAATAGAGACACCTTAGCATCACGCTATTCCATTCACTAATCAACAACAAGATAATGATTCCAGTTCAATGGTCATGGCAAACACGCCTGTTTATCATTTTCAATTGTTTCCGTTTCGCACGTAAGTGAACAAGATTTTCATAGAAGTAAACGAAAACGTGATAAAAATTATTAGTTGGAGGTTATAATCAACGATATCTTCTACGCTATCTGCTGAAAGAAAGACCATACAATCCATTCGAACGACCAGTGCTCAACGATACAGACACATTACCTGTTCGAATGAATTTGGCTTTACAACAAATCATTCATTATGTAAATAAATATTACGCTTGTCTCACACGTAATTTTGTTGGTTAATTGTTGACAGGATGCAAAAAATGAAGTTATTGTTCTGAGTGGCTGGATGGTCCTCGTACGTGTAAATTGCCATTATTTTCTTATTGTTTTTCTGTGTATTCGCATGTAGGCATGGAACGATTGTAATTTGAAATGGAATCCGAAGAATTTTGGTGGCATTGAAACGATACGCATACCGAGTACGCAAATTTGGCTTCCGGATATTCTTCTCTACAACAGGTGAATTCAGTTTTTAAAGTTATCAAAACAGAGATTATTTGATTATGTTAGTGCTGATGAAAAATTTGATAGTACAATGAAAATAAATGCTGTTGTACAGCATACTGGTGATGTTCTATATGTTCCACCCGGTATTTTCAAAGCGATCTGTTCTTTTAATATTGCTTCATTTCCATTTGTAAGTTTGTCAACTTAATTACTTTGATTGATTTTCGATTATCTTTCAGGATACACAACAATGTACACTTAAATTCGGATCATGGACATTTGATGATGCTGGTTCATAGCTGTTTTTTCTGCACATTTTGTCCGATTAGTCTTTTTCTTTTCATTCAGGAATTAATCTAACGGCAGAAAGTAATCAAGGCCAATTAGATGCTTTTATCAAAAATGGACAATGGGACTTAGAAGGTTATCTATTCGACTAGCTCTCTGTGTATTTCATGTCAGTCTTCTCTAGAATTTTCTGCAGTAATCAGTGTATTGAAATATGAATGCTGTCCAACATTATATCCATTCGTTCTTTATACAATTCGAATTCGTCGATTTTCTTTGTATTATTTCTTCAACATCGTCGGTGAGTCAGTAGAAAACTCGTTGAATACTGTGCTCTCTATTTAAATCTATAGTTCCGTGTTTTCTGATCAGCTGTATGACAATTTTGGGATTTTTATTAGCTCCGGACAGTGGTGAAAAGCTAACGCTGCGTAAATAAGAATCTCGCTTGTGCATTATCATCTGTCTCGGATTGTCTTTTTATCTAGAAATTACAATTCTTCTCTCCGTAATTATGTTTAGTTTATTAATGTTTGAAATAATGCCGCCGAGCTCTACTGCTGTTCCAATCATCACGAAATACTTTACATGCATTATGATAATGTCAACGGTTTCCGTCGCAGCATCCGTTTTAGTTATCTCAATCCATTTCCGAAATGCCCACAACCATACCATGCCATTATGGGTAAGATCAAATCAAATCGTATATGTGATAGTCTTCGAAAAATAAATATCTCTTTAGATCCAAAAATATATTTGTTATTATACGGCATGGCTATTACTTATGAAACATCCTCGGTATGACTTAACTTGGCGTGGAATACGTCAACGATGGAACATGCGAAAGGGAGAACTGAACGGTGATGATGAATCAGTGGCTAAGCGTTGTTATAAATGTCGTCCAACACCGTTAGTAAATAATCTTTTTAAATTCTTACCATCAAAGAGTCTACCGCCGCATCATCATTCGCATGAGCCAGCACAAACGTTGAATGCCTATCAAACCGATTTGATCCGATCGGAATTGCGTAATATAGCTTCACATTTAGCTATTTTAAGTCGTCGTGTTCAACGAGAAGAAAAATACAATGAAGATTCAGAAGATTGGAAATTTGTGGCAATGGTTATCGATCGTCTTTGTTTAACCTTCTTTACCTTATCAATGATTGTTTTTACTGGATGGACTCTTCTTTCTGTACCTAGCATGTTTAAACGTCGCTAGAGCAAAATTTTGTACGCATCCATTATTGAACTTCAACGAGACGATATTCTTCGCTTAGTGTTGTGTGGTCTAGATTATAGCGCGTATGTTCTTATGTAAGAGAATAGGATAGAAGCAATCGAACGTGACGGATCATTTGATTTATTTTACGTTTTTGTCTTATTTTGATACATTCGAAATATACGATGACCGAAAAAGAGCTCGCTGAATCTTCGGATGAGAAATCAAGAAAATATATCAAAACTACTTTACTTCTTCTCAGCTGGTGTATGTTGGTAAGAACTCGTTATCATGGTAAAGAGATGATTTGAAGCCATTTATTTGAGGGTATGTGTGGAGAAATCATTGGGCCAACAATGACCATTCTCGCACACAATATACAGGTAACGTTCAATGGTATAGCTACAGTGCTTGCATTCGGAAGTGTTGGGGGCTTGATAACAAATCTTTTTTGCGGTATTTTTCAAAATTTCACTGCAAATTATCCAGAATTGATGCTGACAACGGCATTTCTACTAACTGCTTTGCGTAAGAATTTACATCGGTGCTTTCTTTTTAAATGAATTTTATATTCATAGTTATGTCTATCACACCATTTATCGGCTCATTATGGCCGATGTGTATGATATTTCTGCTTCAGGGCACTGCAGGAAGTTTTGCTAATATGGGTAAATAATTCCTAATAATATCGGATTTCTTTCAGGCGAAATTTCTATCCTTAGGAGGTACTAATCTTCTAATCGACATGTGGAAAACTCGTGTGGCAACGCCTTTGAATATATTTCATCTAGGATATGGATTCGGTGCGATATTTGCAAATTTACTTGTTCGACCATTTATAAATACTGAAGATGAATATCCTCAAGCTTTCAATACAAGTATTCGCTTTCCTTATATCATCAGTGGTTTCTTATGCTTTCTCATCGGCATTGGACATCTTGTAGTCTTTCTACAAAAATCATCTGAACGAGAAACTGAACAAGCAGCTGTTGAGACAGTGTCTTTACAGTGTGATACAGGAAACGAGAAGATAGAATTCTCTGTCTATTCACCAAAAACATGTGGAAATGGCTATTTCAAATATGGTCTAGTACTTTCGTTTTTATTTATTATGTACATTTTCTTTGTCAGCGGGACGGATCAAGTATTTGCAAAGTTTTACTTTTCCTTCTTGAAAAATGATCAATTTCGAATGTCCAGCAGCAGTGCCAGTTGGGGTGTGATTCTTTATTGGTTGTCCTATTCAGTAAATGTGATTTCTAAGCTATTTCTAATGGTTTTTCACTACTTTAGATTGGTCGATTAATTTCTGCGATTTTATCGATCTTTTTACCAGTTTATGTTTGTTTAACTATAACTTGGTGCGGAGGTTTGATCCTAGCAGTAGTTTGGAACGTTTATGTTTGGGTTTTTGGTCTAACTATGGAAGGTCTTTTTATTCTTGGCTCTCTTACTGGACTCATTATTGCGCCGCTGTTTCCATTATCATTTGCGTGGTTTACTCAAAATTTAAACTTAATTCCACCATTACTTGGTGCACTCCTTTGCGCGTGTGGTTTAGGATCTTTAACTTTGCAAAAAATCGCCGGTAAGTAATAAATCGAACATTGATGTACAAGGAAATGTGCGCTTTATTTTATAGGTATTTTAATGGATGTAAATCAAAATCATTTTCCGACACTTTTGACTGGCTCCATTGTTGTAACGATGATGTTGTTCATTGTTTCTAATCTGGTCATATTTTGTCACAAGCGAACTGTGAAAACGCGACGAAATTCATTAATTAACGAAGATGAAGACGAACAAAATATGGCTGATTACCTAAAAGATTACAACAACGTGCGAAAAAACTCAATTATACTCTCATTTTAGCCTTTATTGTAAACGATCTCTTGCATTTTTGACACCGTAGAAGTAGAGAAACAAAAAACAATATAGAAGATGATTTTAAAATACAGAAAGTAATCTGTTGAAACAAATACGACAAATATGTTGATTTGAGGGTGGGTGATGTTTTTCCTCTAATTCTTTGAAAAATATTTCCACTCATACATATCGGAAATATCGTCAATAAATGGAGTGATTCATTAAAAAAATAGTCACCGTCTTGTGTACTTTAAGAAATTTGGAAGAAAAATTCCATTTATGCTTTCCTTTATCTTTAAAGAAATAGTAGTTGATTATAAATATCATGAATAAACAAAAAAACATCATTCGGTCAAGTAAATACGTAGTATATAGAACTACCCAAGATTCACTTGAATATTTTTTAACTGATTTTCCAAAATAAGCCTTTTCTTTTCCCACTTCCTCTTGTATTAACCACATCGAACATTCTCCTAAGAAAAAAGAATATACGACCGTGTGAAAATTATATGAACAATCGAATTGCTCGTTAAAAACAACTTCGGACTTTATGGAATCAAAAATCCAGCGAATAGAACAACAGCAATACCGAAGAATTCCTTTTAGTTAGATAATTTTTTATTTGAATTTTCAATAATTCCGTTAATCGTACAATTGAAAATTGATTCTCTGAAAAGATATGTAATGCCATAAATTAAATAAAAGCTAGGAAGTCATCTGCTTGTTGGTTGAAGAAAAGTTCGTCGTTGCAAGCAATTGTCGCATTTCTTCTGCTGAGTGTGTTAGCTTTAACTATTATGGTCAAAGTCTCCTGCTCACTAGACGTGAACAGACTGGACAGAAACTAAACGAAAAAGCTAAGATCTGTATCGGATTGGTAAGTATATGCGCGGTGGTCTAACTTCGGTTCTGACACTGATGAACAAAATCGATCGAGATCTTCGTAATTACGTTTATTGAAAACGATGAGAAGAAACTAGAAACGACTAACGTTTATCACAGTTCAAAAGGTCAGACGGCGGCATTAAATTCGTTAATCGGTGATAAATAGAATTTTGGCGAATATATCAAAATCAAACGGCAGATATATGAACAAGTAGCGCTCATCTGTCGGATTCGCTGAGTCTTTTCTAAAAGAATTACAAGACTTTTAGATAAAAACTCCCACGTATATCTCACTCTAATCCGCTTCAAATTAAAGCCAATTTTAAGCACATTCTTTTCTTTGAATCCTTTTCTACTTTATTCATGTCAAACTACTTTCAAACCATTTGTCCAAAGATGTAAGCAAAAGGATCACTGAGTCTAAACATTTATTAATCAACTCCCTTCCCACTGTTTACATTCAAAAATCAATTTACTTACACTTATTTTTATCTCTTCTAAGCCACTCAAACACACCCTTAGTCCTTCGTCTGCCTGCCTCCGATCGATCACTCGCAGCTAGCCGTTATATGTCCAACTTTCATTCTTTCAACTAGTTTTAAAATTCCCTTCAAACTGAATCAAACCATTTCCTTCCATTCCCTGTTGAAGAATCATCAACTTTATGCTTGTCCAAAACAACATTTGTCATGGGAAGTATTATTTTGAGTGTCTGAAAAACACAGAACAGAACTTTCCCATTGAAAACTAACACCAGATTTGGAATCTTCGACCATGATAACCCTTAGGTGAATTATTTATTAATGACGATCCATGAGTTTTTATGCGAACTTATAAAATACTGCAAACTGATTGGATTATGCAAACAAACAAACTTTTAGCATTTTAACGACCGTATTTTATACGCTATAACCCTTTCAGAAAACAATAAGAACGAAGCGCGCAGTTCACCAAGATACAACAACAAGACCTAAATCATTTTTTCCTTTTCTGAAAAAAAGGATTATACAGCGGTTAAACCGTGAGCTCAAAAAGCTTAAAGCTTGCCTGTCTGTCTGTTCTATCCAATCAGAAAACAGCATTTCTTAGTTCATTAAAATTTACCTATAGCAACCGACGACTGAGTACTAGTAAGACAATCGGAGTCGAGGAACTCGAATCCTTTGTTAGCTTCTCCTTACACACTTAGATCCGCCTTCTTCCTTTTGCTTTCTAGAACAGATATTTTTATTCTTTCACGAATTATTCACACAGATTTTCTTCTCAATAATAGTTTATCATCATTACAATTGAGGAACATGAAAATTATACAAAATGAGTCGTTCCCTCGACTGAAAGTAGAGTTATGTCGCAAAAATAGTGGTAAAAAATTGAAGTGCGTATGTATGTATGTTTGTCGTGGGTTAAAGGTAAAAAAACGGTTTTTTTCGAAAACGCACAAGAATTCAGAGAACATGGCTTCGAAGAGTCGTTAGGCAGTTTGGAAGAATATTTACGGAGTGTGTTGAAATGTGTTAGGAGCCGCGCGATCATTTATTATCGACCTGCACAGACACAGAACAGTGAGTGCAGGTGCATTTACTTCGCTGAACAGAAACAAGATCAATGTGATACATTTATCTGTATATACAAAGAAGGTTTGTATGTTTGTCTCTTCCTTATTCATTCAGATCGTGTAATATCCACAGCTACCAAACTATCCACAATGCTTCCATATATCCAGCTTGAGCGAATAATAGAAGATGACTAACACAACTCCTCGAGAAACGGAAGGAGGTATTGCGAATGCCTAAGTCTTACTCTTTTGATACAACACTCGTATAATCTTTTTGTAAGCATGTAGACAAACTATTTTTCAAATGTCATGAACTTTTCTATAAATGAGGTCAAAGAATTGGTCTTCATGACATTTGAGATTCTTGTTTTTTTGTGTTCTCAGAATCTTTTTTATCTATTTTTACACAGGCTATTTCTTTTCTCGCTTTAATCACAAAATTTATACTCGTGCGTTACGAATAAATGTATCAACCAATTTTTAATTGACACTTTCACAACGTTTTTTTCTTTCTAACATCGAACTGAAAGTTTTTCACTTCATCATCGTCTCTAACTTAGAAGCACAAAACTCAAGAAATGAATGCATCGAATGTATCGAATGGAGGTGGAGTAAGAGGCCCAAGTCCATTTATATTTATTTCTAAGGATATTTCATTCACAATATTACTAACCATTGTTATTCTATCTATTCCTATGCATTGTATCGCTTTCGCTCTTATTTTTTTCAACAAAACTCTTCGTTCAGCACCCAACAATTATATTATTTTATTCACATTATTTTACACTTTTATCATAAGTTCTATTTTGATTCCAATAATATTAGATTCACATAGACCAACACCAACTATTCATTGGTCTTTGATACTTTGTAAAATTAGGTCGTATGTTGAGACTACATCTAGTTGTCTAACAAATCTTTTCTTTGCATGGGCATCATTTGAACGACATTTTCTCGTTTTTCATACTCATTTATTTACTATTAAATGGAAAAATATCTGTTTTCATTATCTACCACCGATTCTCCTGATTATTTATATAGACGGCTTTTACATTTATGCTAGTTTTATCTTTCCATGTGAAAACCAAGTAGATTTTGTTAATAATATATGCTATTATGGTTGTCAGTCAAGGGATCCAGTAATGGGTATGTGGCAAACAAATTTTCATATTCTAATTCCTACGCTTTCTGTATTAATACTTAATTGTGCATTTTTATTTCGAGTTTATCGATCAAAAGCACGTCTTCAACGATCAGTAAATTGGAGAAAATATCGTCAAATGATCTTTCAACTATTTTCTATCGCAAGTCTCTTTCTTTTATTTAAGCTACCTGTTGCAGCTATCAATATATGGATATTAATAACTTCAGCACCGTTGTCAGTCACAGTAATGCAATGGGTTGGGTTTAACACGTATTTTGTTCCGTTACTGTTTCCTTTTGTATGTTTATTGTCAACATCAGAAATGAGATTGATGATAAAGAAAATTTTACATAGTCGAACAGCACCTGTTAGAGAAACACAACCCGGAGTAGGCCCCTTTAACAAATCATAATTGCACTAAAACGGGAAGCATTTACATATAGAGGAAAAAATTCATTAACATTTTATTCAATGTACTTACAAATTTTTATGCGAACGTTGTAAATGTATAGACTATTTATTACCTGTAATGAAGATGGAAGAGATATATTTTGTGCTGTATGTCATTAATGCTGTTGTATTTTGTGTCTAACATCGTTTTCTCACCTTATATTCAAAATAAAACTATGGGACGAGAATGTTCGACTATATCGACATTCACACCCTCACCCACATCATAGTTTTTCGTTTATTTCTTACACTTATAGGATATTGATCGATTGATATGCATTTTATGCAATAGATATTTGCCATGTACAAGAGACTTCCTGTACGATAAAAAGAAGCTAACGGCATTTTTCCAAAGATAATTCTGATTGTATTTTATTGAGCACTGATCCTTTTCAAAATTCTGGCTCGTTAAAAATCTGTGTCATTCATGCGAGAAATCTTGTTTTTCATTATTACTTTTATCAAAGTGTCAACTCAAGCATCCTCAATCGAGCTAATTATTCTTATTTCATATAAAAGACGTCATAAAAATCAATATCTGTCTGTATAGTCTATTTAAAATTATGTTGATTATGGCATTCGGTCATGCTATAATTTGAAACGACGTTGCAGGTAAATTTCAAGTGACGATTGATAAGTTTTCGAACAACGTAATCAGGGCTAAATTATATATATATATATACTCCAGTCAAAGAATACGAGACGGTTCCGACGGGAAAACACTGGAGATCGCTGGAACATGGAAGTAGTAGTCCGAGTGAAAAGTCTTGGACTTTTCCCGATGATTTCCGGTGCTTTCCTGCAAGATCCGATGGCTTTTTTTGTAAGATCTATCAGGAACCAACCGCCGAAACGTTTACCGTGAGTATATATAAGAATGACTGAAAGATTTTTTATCTTTTAAATAGTTTGTCACGATCTCTATCTGTGATATTAACTTCAGATTTTTGGGTTGAATCTTTGATATGAAAACGATCGATCTTCGCTATAGTAGCGGCGCCAACCGTGGGTCAGGATTGGCTCAGCCCATCTTGATCTTGAAGAATTACCACAGAAAGCAAATATTTACACCACAAAAATGTACAATTTTTGTAGTGAACCCACTCTGAAATTTTTTTTCTATCGGTGCGAGGCTAGTACAACGAAACAAGGACTTACCTGAAACTTTCTTTCTGTAAGGCAAGTCTCATCTATAAAAAGCAATTCATTCTATACAGATTTTAATTCAATCGAATGATGCTAACTTTATTCAAGTATTTGCTGTTTATTGCAGTCTACTAGATCTCAAATTGGAAATGTACTTTGTTTGAAGTTCTTGTAAATATATGATTCGAATGATCATTTGACTGAAAAACCAACCCAGTAAGAAACTTCTCAGTTCACGTTTTCGTTTGCCTTAGGTAAGTCCTTTTATTCAAAAAGAAAATATTAAACTTCAGCCCCTTTTACAAAAATGAAACCATCGATTAATTAGTGACGAAATGCGTTCTCGAAAACTTTTACGAAACATTTTGCTTGAAGCAAAATTAATACAAAACGATGTCCCAAAGCTCATGTATTAAAATATTCAATTTGTTGTCACTCGACACTTTTCGGCTGAGAAGTAGTAATTAGAGTGTCGGAAAATGTTAGACCTCGCTGAAATGCTAATGCACTCGAGAGAAATGTATTCACAAATATTAAAATCAGGAATGGCCGATTCGTTCGATAAGTGGCAGGTGAATGTCTTGCAGCGTGAGAGGATGTACCAATACGATGTCTTGATTATCGTATATGAGTCCATGTCACGTCAGCACAGATCATGAACCCATCTTGTGGAACGATGAATGAGAAAACATTTGCATAAACCGCGGTTATAGGGGTGTCAGAACTAGACGATGCCACACATAAACCATTGTAAACATCAAATATAATCAGATAAAAGATGCCAGAGGTCAATATAAAAAACATGCTTATAAGAAAAAGACGCTTAGCAACCCACGTTGAGCTCAGTCGTCGCCAACGAGAACTTTGTGATTTCGACACACATTGGTTGAACGTTGATAACAAAGCACATGTTGCTGCCATCGATGGTAAACAAACAAGTAGATAGCTGCGTGTTTTGCAAACACCACGATTGATAAGTGTAGAATTATTACCTGCAAAGTATTCTGTTGCAAAGCGAATGATGATGCCAAAGTCGCCGCATAGGAGATCAACCGAAGAAGCACAAATCATGTAGAAGATGTAAGATTTTGTTCTGAAATCCTTGGACAATAGTGTAAAAATGTTGAGAATATTTCCAATTGTGCCAACAATCAACACAACAAAGAAGCCAGCGATTGTGAAAGTACAGGTGTTATTCGTGCTAGTGATACCATACTGATTCAATACAAAGTGAGAATAATAATTCTGTTGAATACGACCGATGATTAGATGGAATTTTTATCTGTGATGATTTAATAAGTGGTAGGATGAAAGAAGTAACTTTTATATATATTCATTCTTTGTCGATTTGATTGATGTAACAAATCTGTAGTTTTCCGAGTAACAATGCGTAACAACTTTAAGAATATAAGATTTTGTTCACTTCACTTGGTATGATAAGTTAAAAGCTATGAAAGTTTTGACGCAGATATATCATATCATTGTCAGAAACAAGGTAAGATAAATCCAACATGTCAAGAGTATCTCATAAGTATACTAATGCGTTTTCTAAGAGGCCTCTTTTGAACAAGTGATTCGAATTATTTTCAGTTTTACAAATCCATGATGTTGCTTTTGTCTCTTCAAAGTCTTAATACAAGATGTTCGGCAAGGGAACGAACTATATTCAGATGCTTAATGTTCAATAAGATGTTTTAAGTGCAAATTCACTACGTACATACATTTTGTCAACATGAAAACCAAGCAACCATCTTTTCTTTCTTTCTATGCAAACAGAAGAAATTACACTATAACATTACAAACCTGGCGCAAGAATTTCTGTGATATTTAAAGTAGTGAGCAAGCGTTGTAATCAAACGTGAAGAGAATACACAATTTTAACACTGGATATTTGTTCACAAAAAGAAGAGTCTGTTCAATAGCCAAGTTCTCCACGTGGACAACCAACGGTCACCCTCATCCTTAAATCTTACTTTGACAATTCATCTGATAATGTCAATAATCGACCACCAGAATCATCGGATACTATCGAATGGAATGTTTCAAGGTGATGATTATACTGCCATCGTGATGATCGAGAAAGGAAATGTTCTTCCTGGTGGACAAGCGTGTAGTCCATTTCCATCGGATAAAATTGAGACAACAGCTTTGCATTCATCAACCTCGAATTATGTGTGTATGACTTAATGATAAGTTATTGTCGTCAAGCTAACGATCCTGTTCATAAGATTTATTCCAAATTACTTGCTGATGGATTCAAAGTTTGGGTTGATTTAGAGAATATGTATGGTTCAACAATCGAGAGAATGGCCGAAAATTCACACTTTATCCATATTTGCATGTCGAATCGATATGAAATGAGTCCATATTGTAAAGTTGAAGGGCAATATACTTAGAAATTCCGACGATCTTTCATACATCTAATTGTTGAAAAAGGCCACAAATCCAAATGTTGGTTGGACGCATTAATTAGACTTTGAATGTATATTGATATTCTTAAAGATGACTTTGACACTGCGTGTATGAAAAACTTTGAACAAAACTTCAAAGAAATAAATCACAAAAATAAGCTCAGAAAGAAACTTTATTCTTGTATATTTGAGAGCGAGACGAACTGATCTATCAGTAAGAGCTGGTGTCTTTTCCACATTGATGTCGAATGCGTAACAGCGTTGGGCGGATACTAGGTGGTGGCGCTAAAAGATTAAAAACACAATGTTGTACGGTTTTAAAGTGCACAGCCAACGTTTTAGTAATTTCAGGCGAACTTTTGCATTTTGATAAAGACGATAAATTCCGTTTTTTACTCAACGGTAGTGCTTGCTTGCTAAAACTTAATATTGTAAACGTAAAGGTCTTTATTTAACAGTAAAGTTCCAGCAGACATACCCTTGCAGTACATATTCATTATCGAACGATTGGAAAAGAGAGCTTTTTCTTCTCGTGTATAATCTGAAAAATTTATTTCTCACAAATAGCCCACTCATTTCATACTCTCTCTTCGAAATACCTGTGTAGAACGTATATCAGACGTGTCTTCTCTGTTTCTGTTGTGTAAATCAACAGAGAGAAGATAGAATAGAACTCTTATCTTGTCTTCATACACTGTAGGTATCTAAAACTCTAACAATGCGTCTGATCGTGCTGACTTCCATTTTAATTTGTATAGCAGCCAATCCGATTACATATGATGATGTAAGGGGTGTGCCATACAAGGTTAGTTATGATCATCGCGCAATCACAATAAATGATGTGCGAACAATGCTTATCTCCGGTGCTATACATTATCCCCGTTCGACACCAGCGATGTGGCCATACATAATGCAAATGGCTAAAAATCAAGGTCTTAATACAATTCAAACATATGTATTTTGGAATCTTCATCAACCAAGACGAGGCGTATGGGATTTTACTGGTCGTGCTAATCTAAGTGGCTTTTTACAAGAAGCTGCGAACGCTGGCTTATTCGTTAATCTACGCATAGGACCTTACATATCTGGCGAATGGACTAACGGCGGTATACCCGTATGGCTTAATCAAGTGCCAAATATATCTTTTCGTACAGATAATGCCGCATGGAAAACCGTGATGCGTCAGTTCATCTTAAACATAATCGACTATATTTCATCGTATCTCGCTAAAAACGGCGGTCCGATAATCATTGCACAGATTGAAAACGAATTGATGGACGGCCAAGATGCTTATGCTAGCTGGTGTGGTGATTTAGTAAGTAATGAGTTATCATTTACGGAAATACCATGGATTATGTGCAATGGTTTATCTGCGAAGTCAACAATCGAAACATGCAATTCATGCAATTGCTTAGATGATGGCTGGATAGCTCGACATCTTCAAGCTTCTCCAGATAAACCTATGATGTTCACCGAAAATGAAGGATGGTTTCAAATATGGGGACAACCTATATCACTTCGCAGAACATCTGATCTCGCCTATTCAGTGGCCGAATGGTACGCTGCTGGTGGATCGTACCATGCTTACTACATGTGGTTTGGTGGAAACAATTATGGACGATTTGCTGCATCAGGTGTATCAACATTGTACGCCGATGACGTATGTTTACATGCTGATGGTACACCAAATGAACCGAAATTTACCCAATTAAGTCGTTTACAGCATATCGTGGCTAATTATTCGAAAATTATGTTAAGTCAAGATCCAGTTCGCACTGCAATACCTTATTGGGACGGATACAAGTGGCTAAATGGCACATCACAATTCGTTTACTCATATTCAAATTCGATCTATTTTATTATCAGTCAAGCGACGACGACACTCTATGTACTATTTCGCAATCAAACTATTCTCATGGCACAACATTCTGTTCGAATATATGATGGTGATATGGATTTGTTATGGAACAGTGCCAGTTACAGTGATATTTCCAGTGGCAACACTCAAATAATCCCTGTTGTTACCGGTCCACTCAATTGGCAAATATGGTCGGAATCATTGATTAAACCAAGTCCACCACTAATTATCTCTCCAAATCCGCTAGAACAATTAAATATAACAAATGACGAAACTGTTTATATGTGGTATCGTCGTAATGTAACATTGAAACAACCATCGTCAAATTCAATCGTACGTGTTCAAACAAATGTAGCAAATGCGTTACTTTTCTTTATGGATGGAGAATACTTAGGCGAATTTGACGATCATACGCACTCACAGGGTGCTGCTGAAGGTTACGTTGTATTAGATCTTTCACGTTTCCATTCTAATCAGCAGTATTTATTCGAAATTCTTTCCATTTCATTTGGACTTTTTAGTGGCGTATATCCGAATACATTTCAATATAAAGGTATTGATGGAAACATATGGCTTGACGATGACTTGTTAGTCGATAATAAAACAGAAACTAATTTTTGGAGTCATCAAAAAGGTTTACTAGGCGAATATCTTGGTATCTACACCGAAAATGGCTCATCGAAAGTTAATTGGGATAGTCAATGGACAAAAGGTATCAATAAACCAATAACATGGTTTCAAGCACGATTCGATTTGAATAATCTTTCGCAACAAGATATGAATGCCAACCCTATTCTGCTTGATGCTCAAGGTCTTAATCGTGGTCACGTATACATCAATGGAAATGATATTGGACTGTATTGGTTAATTCAAGGTATTTGCGAAAATAATCAACCGTGTTGCTGTCAACACGCTCAAACCAATTGTTTAAAACCTACTCAACGGTTTTATCATATTCCACCTGATTGGCTCAAACGAGAAAATAATTTAATTACGATTTTCGAAGATTCAGGTGCACCCTCACCGGGATCAGTCGGGTTAGTTCAACGTATTGTTACAAACTCATAAACAATGCGTATTCTTTTTCAAAAACTTTAAGAATGTTGTCTTGCTCTTTAAAACTAACGTGTGCGATTGATACTTAACTACTTTTGTTTAAAAACATGCGAAACATTTTCAATGATAATCGTAAGCTTGCCAAAAGAGTAGCTGCCTAGAGCTCGACTTATAATATAAATGCAGAAATACTAATAAACTTCACCTTCAAGTCAAGCGGCACGGTGGCTTACAAAGGATAATTTCACTTGTCGAGTTTTCTCTTTGTCTGGACAGTCTTCGTCATCCGATATTCATTGGTGGATCGGTCTAAAAGTGATTTTTTTTGTTATTAATTTCATAGGTTGCTAAATCATAGTGGAGTTCTTTCTCTTTTTCACAGTTGAAGTCTGCTTGGAAAGAGTCAATCTTCATTATCTCTCACTGTGAGATGAATGGCCTACCAAAAATAGATTTGCATTTCTTTGTGCAAGTCACTGCTTTAAACACAATTCTTACGATATTTCGCGCTCTCGCTATGTTCGAGGATTATTCGTCCCATACGAAACATATTTAATGTTTCTGTCATGTGTCAACTTAGCTCTACACTATTTGGTGTTACCAATTGTTGTTCCCTTGGTTGTACTTGGCCCACATTCGCTTAAGAATATTTTCTTGTTGTCGCATTGAGTGTCGGTAGGCCAAAAGAAATTTTATGATAATTATGATGAGTTCGTCTTTGCGTTTACAAAAAACTGAAGTTTCTCTTTCGTGGATGTTCATTCTAGAATAGTCTTTATTTTTGTTATTCGATAAATATTAAACTCGAACGACAATTTTGCCAATATTACCGCCGGTGAAAAGCATTTCATAAGCTCGAGGAAGATTTTCAAAACCATCAACGAACGTTTCGTGAAATTTAAGCTTTCCTTCATCTAACCAAGTCGGCATATCTTTATAAAATTCTTCTTCATTTCGATGAATAAAATCGCCACATACAAAACCTAAAATCGATAAGCCCCGGTAGATCGTCTTCGCTAAGTAATTTGGATAAATATTGACTTTAGATGGATCATCTTCGCTGTTATTATAAGTACTTATTTGACCACAAATGATTATTTTACCATGTCTCTTGATTATATCAAACACAGCATCGGTAACAAATCCACCTGTATTATCAAAATACTGTGTGATTCCCTCGGGTGCGAGTTCTTGTAATTTTTCAATCATTTTCTCTTTGGTATTGTACTCCTTGTAATTAATTGCTGCATCGAAACCTAATTCTTTCACGATGTAATCACATTTTTTTGCGTCACCAGCAATACCAATTACTTTTTGTGCACCTCGAATCTTCTTTGCAATTTGACCAGCAATGGTTCCAACGGCACCAGCTGCTCCGCTTATAACTATAACATCAGCTGGCTGAGTATCTGCCACTGACAATATCCCATAATAAGCTGTTTGCGATGGCATTCCTAATACTCCAATAGCCGTACTAAAACCAATTTTATCATAGATGCTGTTGTGTTCCGTCGGTTTTTGTATAATTCGAAACCGGGGTTCGGTACCGTTGGCAAGAATATACCTTTTCCATTCCATTCTTCCTGTTACGACGGTATCAACTGGTACACTGGCATTTTTACTTTCGATGACACGACCGACTAAACCTGATATTTGTACCGAACCAATTGGATTTACCGCACCACCCAACGCTGATTTTTTTAGTCCGCTACTCAAGTAAGGATCGACCGAGACAAATAGCGTTTTGATGATAAACTCATTGTCATTAGTTATGGTTGGCATCGGACATGCTTGTAATTTCCAAGCAGACTTGACTTCATTCTGGTCTGAAGGCCGAGTCGACAAGATAAATTCTTCATTTTTTACTTCACTTGCCATTCCTATGTTTCACCTGTGTCCTAATAAACACGTTGTTTTTCTTTCATTCTATAACACTGACACTACGAATACGTTAGGCGTTGGTAGATAATGAAAAAGATTGTTTTTACAGGCAAATAGTAGCGAGTGTATTATGTTCTAGAACTTTCAAATTTGAAAATAATCGATAAATACGATTGAAATGACGGGTGGCTTGCGTAAAACTTGTGATGATTCTGTGGACGTGATACATAAATAACCATACATTGTTGATGCGTTTTGCAGGAATGAAGATTTTAGTGGTGACGTCAAATCAACATTAATTCAACATGTTTTTTCCATCTATTCTGATCAATTTTTTCAATGCCGAGGAAAATGAAAAAACTGCCTTTCGCCACTCGAATAGTTTGTGTTTAATAATTGTTGCAATTCAAGAAATGAAAAAACGCTTCTGTTTTATTAAAAACCGTATGTGAAAACGAGATCTGACACATATGGAGTACGTTTATTTCAGCAATCATTTTTCTGCGACGGTGTTATGTAAACTTCACGCTTGCTAAGTTGGTTTCCCCTTGTCTTCCTCTTTCAACGTTTTCGTCTTCAATATTTTCTACTACTGTGGAGTATTTTCATGTGTGAAAAAAGCCTTTTCTTTCGCTTTTATCAAATGTACACATGTTTTGGCCGTTCTGTTGACTTTTTCCTCTAATCCAAATATATACGTGAGTTAAAGGAAAAAACCAATAGAACACACGTCGTGAGAATATTCCATAATATCGACTAGACTCGTTATGTATAAATATGCAGAGTATTATCTCCGATGTATTGATTTTAGAAAAAATGAATATACGAACAACCAAGCCCCATTTGACAAAAGATACAATTATTCACCAGCATGATTTATTGATGCAGGCTATATCTAAACAACGAATCTCGTTGAGAGATAAAGACAACTTGTTAAGTCGTTTAGAAGAAATTTCAAATGATATTACTGCTAACCGTCATCCTGCCGGAGATAAATTACAAGACTGGGAGAATCAATTGATGGCGATTCAAGATGATCTTCAAAATGCTCTAGGTAAGTGAAAGTCATGTCGGACTACAGACAAAAGCACGTGAAAATTCTTTGCATGTTTAATTGAACCATAGCATGCGTTTTGCTTTGCTTTAGTGAACTACGTACCTCATGGAAGAAGATCTTGGTTTCGTCGGGAATTGCATGATATCATATCGAAAATATATTCGTATGGACTCAAACATTTAATTACAGTTCTAGCTATTATAATCTTGCTGGGAATCGTTTTGATATTTCTATGGCATTTGCTTGTTTTCTTGTCATGTAACTATATACCATTCGCAGGTGCCATACTTCCATTTTGCAAAGCAGAAGTTCTGACAAAAACACCGGAATCATCACCACCAAATCTGGAAAACCCTACAATAAAAATACCTTCAGTTTCGGCATTTGTTGAGAAAACAACTGATTTAGCTGAGCGTTTGTCTAGTGTTGACGTCAACGCACCAACTAAACTAACTGAAGTGAAAATATCATTAATTGATTTGAAAGCACGTGTCGTCTATTCGAATCTCGAACAGCCGACGAAACAAATAATCAAAGAAAAAATTGTGGAACTGAGAACGTCAGTTGAGAGCACAACGGATAGTATACACAAAATGTTATCTGGCTTTGGTGGCACATTATCAAAATTGGAAATTTACACTAAATATGCATTGACATACATTAAGGATGAATCAACAGCTTTAGCTACTTTGCAATCATCGTCCAGAAGTACAGAATTGGTGGTACACGGTTTTGAAAGGAAGGTTCAGTCTCAATTTCAAACTTATTTGGAACATATTGACAACCAAATTAACCGTGTCATACAAATGGCAGAGGATGTACACCGACAGCTACGTACGTTTACTTTTATTATTGCATTCTCTACAGCCAGAAATCTCAGTGTATCTTGTTGGAGTACCTATGAGTTCGTAGAGAAGCATTAGAAGTTTTGATTGACGTTTTAAAAATATCACTACGTAACGCTTAAGCTAAAGTGAATATTATCAGTCAGATAATTTGAAACACGAACTAGACTACTGAAATTGTATGTTTATTTTTTTGTGCATTTAGTCGATATCGATACGAAATATGAAACGATAGACGATGTATTATCTGACAGTTATGAAGCATCGCAAATCATAATAAATGGCATTGATCAAGAAATACGAAACGAAGGATTACTCGCAAGGCTTTATCGTAACACATTGGGTAATGGAGAATTGGATAAAGTAAAACATCAACAGAACCTTGCAACATTGAAAGAGTTCAAGCAGATTGTAAAAGTGGGAATTGTTGACGTCAACAACGTGCTTTTGAGATTAAAACAATTCAAAGCAGAAGCTGTGGAATTGAAATCAACCGTAACAGAAGTTGAACTTGCACAAACTATGCCATTCGATACTCACTTAGAGATATTAAGAGGTGGTCTTACACGATTGAACGAATTAAAACAACGTCTAGATGGTAGACTGAAGCAAAAACAAATAGATCGTGTCGATAACGATGATTCTGATGATCGTCGTCACAATGATCTTTAATAGCATACGGAAAACCGGTTGATTGAAATTTACTTATCCTAACTTTCGTCGAAACAACTTACGCTTGATTTTCTTTTTGTGTTTATTTTAGTGCGCCTCATTATAAAGAAGAATTAATCACGAACACGTTCTGTTTCTTTTCGTAGAAATACGAGACAAGTCGTATAGTTTTCCCAATCAAAGCTACTTCAAAACTTATCAAAAGAAAATGAGTAACATCAGTATACTAAGAAAAACTCAACTATACTCAGATGACTATAAACACAAAAGAAATAATTATGAAAGATTTTGCGTATTGTCGATTTATTATAATCTGAGATGTATATTGATACAGTAACACACAGTAACACATGAAACGAAAAACAATGTTCTCTACATATAAAAAAGATCACATTTTCATCCTGGCTGGATATAATGTCTTCGAGTTAAAAGTATACACGCTTTTCGTTGAGATCATCAATTTGCTTATCGATTGCGCCAACCAATGCCTTAACAATATAATCGCCTTTGGTAAACGTGAAATTTCCTTCTTGAAGCTTTTCAATATTTTCTCTTTCTGTGTTATAATCATCCGTTACATCGACATTCGTCATCATCTTATCCCAATCACGTAGATATCCAACACAGATAGGATCGTCCGTACAGATTAAAAACGACACAAATGTTGTGTCTATGCGACGTTCTATATTCATCAGATGTTTAAGTTCGTCAACATTTGGTTCTCCATCATCATTGGTAGGGGCTCCATCGGTTGCAACGAATACTAACACTTTTTTATCATTGTTTAGCCGAGTTATTGGTAACTGGAAGATTTTTCTGAGAGCAGGTACTAGGGGTGTGTAGCCATTAGGTGGATCAGAAAATGCTTTACTAACCGCGTTAGGGTCTTTGACATTGAGAGCTGGTTTTCGATTAAGAAAGTAAATGTCGACACCGGATGAATCGAATATTGTTCCAACATCTAAGATAATTTTGGCAAAGTCTCGAAGTTCATCCCATCGTGTTCGATTGGAACGGTCCACAGTCGTCTTCATTGAACCTGAATCATCACAGAGAAGAATAATTTCATAGTTTTTCAATTCGTGTAGACGCTTAGCGAAATCTTTTCGAATTTCGTTCCGAAGAATCACGTCTTGGAGACGATCATCAGCTAAAACCGAAATAAATAACAGATTGTAGGAAGGATCTTCTACGTTTTTACTTTTTGGTAATAATATAGATGAGACACTTTCAGGAGAAGGCCGGATCAAGTGACGATTTTCTGGTGATATCATAATGTTCGAACGATTCGATTCTTGTACACCGTCAGATGTAATAAGACTATCATCATCACGTTCAATATGATCCTGTTTTATATAAGGATTCCTAGTCCATCTTTCTGAAGCAATGCTCACTTGAGATTCATTTCTTCTCATAGTTGGATTTTCTAAGCTTGAACTTTCTAAAAAATAACTTTTCTTTCCATTTGAAAATTTAGGTTTCTCTAACTTACTCGGTTTTTTCTTCAATCTAAACTTTTCCAACATTATTCACTTATGTGATCTACTTCAAAATAAATCGGACAGAAAAATGAATATTATTATTCAAATGATTGATATTCGATGCATATATATAATTATTTTCTTTTCGTTCTCCACTTCCTTCATGTGCTTTTTTCCTCTTGGTTTGTGTCATAACATCATTTACATGTTTATTTTCAATATCGACTCGATTCTTAGTCATAATTATGTTGTTTGCAGTTAGATTGGAAGTTACCCAGGATTGAAATCATTGGTGAACAAGCAAAGTCATGCAAATCATGTAAATTTTATCTCATCAATACCTATTCTCACGCCGTTTATTAAGCTTAAAAGAAGTAGTTCGTTCATAGTACGTTCTATCACGGATGATAGAGCTCTGAACTATTCAAAATAGTACTACTGATGCCACCGGTGACTAACACTTTTCCATTGGTTAGTTTGGAAGCTGTGTGTTCACGACGAGTAAAGCTCATATTGGCAGTAACTGTGCATAGTCCTGTAGAGGGATCATATATCTCAGCGCTATTCAAATAACCAATATTATTAGAGCCACCAGCGATTAACACTCTTCCATCTGTTAACAAAGTCGCCGTGTGATAAGCTCGATAATAGTTTACACTACCAGTAGCTGTCCACACATTTGTTGATGGGTCATACAATTCGGTGCTGTTCAAAGTTCCACCGTTGTTAATTCCACCGATAACGATTATTTTTCCATTGCTTAATATAGATGCACTGTGATAATATCGAGCAGAACTCATATTGGCAGCAATTGTCCACAGTCCTAACGACGAATCATACAATTCAACGTTGTTTAAAACTGCACCATTATTATTTCCACCAGTCACCAGTACTTTTCCATTTGTTAATACAGTTGCAACGTGTCCGTACCGTGGATAACTCATATTTCCTGCTGTTGTCCACATTCCAGTAGATGGATCATATATTTCAGCAGTACCTAACATAACACCGTTAATCCCACCAACAACTAATACTTTTCCATCAGTTAATACAGATGCTGCGTGTGCATATCGAGGATAAGTCATATTTTCTGTAATTGCCCATGATCCTGTTAAGGGATCATACAATTCAGCAGCGTTTAAACTCAGTCCATTGTATCCACCTGCAACTAACACTTTTCCACTAGCTAGCACAGACGCTATATGATAACGTCGCGCATAATTCATATCACTTGTAGTTGTCCATAATCCTGTGGATGGATCGTACAGTACAGCACTGCTTAAACTAGTACCATTGAATCCACCAGCAACTAGTACTTTCCCATTTAATAAATGAGATGCTGTATGTTGCGTTCGGGCAATAGTTAAACTATTAGTTGTTGACCATCCTAATAATAGATAATGTGTAAACTTCTGAATTCGAATGAAATGCAAATTACCTGGCGCGGCCGTGATTGATGCAGCTAAACAAAACATGTAAGACTTCTTCTGATGGAATTACGAGTTTCGATAGAATTAGTTTTACCTGTGATTTTACGTAAAGAGATCAAAGCAAAAATGCCCAATACCATACATAGAAAAAGGAAGAGTGTCAGTATCAAACAAAGACAAATAGACCAAGGTTTCATATGCTTTTTCCATGTTTTCATATTTTTCACTACAGGTTTCTTTCTACGCACATCAATCATCAATAAATTTTCATGCGGTTTTCTTTTACGCCTACTTTGTAGAATTGGTTGATGGGAGCGTTGTGATACCAGGTGGATAGGATGAAGTACACTGATTAATTAATTTCATTTGTGATCGATCTATGAACAAAAGCCTGTTTTTTGCACTAGTATTTCGTGAGCTATACAAAAAACTTACAATCTACTCTGTTCATTACAGGAAGCTGATAGATCTCAATAGAACGTTGATTATTTTTTATTGCATCTGATGATGTCGAACAAATCTGTTGTTGGTTGACCATTGGCTTCACCTGAAAGAGAAGCATAGCATGACATCAATGCCTCCGACGTCTATTGATTAGTATATACTTTGAAATGTCGGTGCATTTTCAGAGGCGTAGTTGTGTATATCTAGGCTGTGATTGAATGAATAAAAGCAATGTTTCGTGCTGCTGCTGCTGCTTCTTGTCCTTCATAAAATTCAATTTGCAGACGAATAAACATTACATGTCTTATTTCAACTCAAATGTCATTGAAATCCTACGAGAAATGCTCTCAAATCTACGCACAAATTATGGATGATTTTTCAATCAAACAAGTATTCGAAGTTTTATTGTCAAAAGACTTTCATTTACTTCAAGTAAAACATCAATAAATATCATGATTTTTAGAAATCAAGCTCAGGTTGACGCCATTTTACTTTGAATCCACGGCAGATAGTAAGTCACACGTACGTAAACACTCGGAGTTCCTCTTGAACCGCAAGCTTGGCCATAACTTACGATTCCATTCAAAAACCTTCGAACACAAAACGGAAAATTAATAAACGATTGAGTCAACAATTAATACTAACCATTGCCCATTAGATTCATACATCAAAGGACCACCTGAATCTCCTTGACATGTAGCACTATACGTTGTATATCTTCCCGCACATAGTTGTTTATCTTCATCAAAAACTTTTGTAACGTAGGTATTGCACATATCACCCATTGTATATAACCAGGTTTGTCTGAGAACGGAGCTTGTATACCCATTGTAATATGTTTTTCCCCAGCCGGCTGATAAAAAATAAAATCTGCTTTCGACCAAATCCTCAAAAGATGTAGAAGAAAACTTTCAATATACTTACACACCCAGACTGTTTTATTAACAGCTGTGCCAACATGCGCGCCTGGTAAACAGATAACATTGACTGTGTCAGAAATCTGAACGGGCTTGGATAAACGTATTACACTTATGTCGTTTTCTAGAGTGCTACTATTGTATAGCTCATGTACCCAGATGTTTTCGGCAACAATTTCTTCTCCTTTGTTAACTATTGACTCTCTCTTATGCAAACCCACAGTGATTACATAGTCAGTCGGGTCAATTGGATATGTAATACAATGTGCAGCTGTTAGCACATGCTGTTGATCGATAAGCACACCACCACATTGAAGATCACTACTAAGTAATAGGACCTGCCATGGCTAATGGTCAATATAATAAACAATGGTGATTATTTGAATACTTTCTCTTTCATAGAACTTACCCAACTGTAAATAGTCGCATCTTGTCCGCCAACGATTCGTTGTAGCAATGGTAGGTGTTTCTGTTTACCACACTCTCGAGGAAAATCTGTACTAGGAATCGGTAAAGGTGTAGTTTCGCAACAGAGACGTGCTTGGCCGTTCTTTCTTTCTAGTTCCGCTTCACTGATGCATTCCTGATTGTATACTTCGCTATAGGCGAAGAATTCATCATGTGTATCTATCCAAGAGGAACATATTTTACCGTTGTCGTAGGTTGTTAAATGGAATTCTATTTCATCGCTTTTGATACCAACAATAAGAGCAACAAGAAAAAGGACTAAGGGATTGGATGACATTCTTATTCGAATGTATCTTTTGGTAAAATGACTTGATGGAAGCATTAGTGTTTCTCTTACAATAGAAAATGAAACTCAATCTTTCGGATGAAAATATCAATCATGATGAAGCATTCGATATGTTGTTGTTGTTGTTTTTGTCCTTAACTTGCATCCAGCGAATTTTCATGTGATTTCGTCATTCACTTCGTTAAGGATTCTATTATTTGAAAGATATCGATTACTTGAAAAATATCTAGATTTGTTTCGTATGTAGAAATAGCAGTGTTAGTGCTTCATAACTGTGATTGAATTTTATTTGATAAAGCTTTAAAGTATAACAGAGGTCCCATATCGCGTGGATCGAACCAAATAGGTGAATGTTTGAACTGATTAACTACATTAATCATATATTCTGACGTAGGAATTCCCGATACAATTTGTGTTACTACGCCTAATGATTGTTGCTCGAATAGAAGTTTAAATGGTGATGTTTGCTGGGCGTAGCATAGCATAAACGGTATCCCAGCAACAGCAGCTGTATGATTCAATGCTAATAGAAGATTTTCTCTTTCACTGATAGCATCGATCGACGTGGGATCGTAGGATTGGAAGAAATTCATAGCGATTCTCAGTCGACCCGTATACGGATTGCTGATACCCAGTCGATCATCATGGAGTGTAGTCGATGCCGGTTCCCATATCATTGCCGCAGTATATCGTCGTGAACTAAAGTCGCCTACAACAAAAGTGCCCACATATTCACTCTGTTGCATAATATAATGCAGGTCTGAGAGTTCTGGACGCTGTACCCAATCGATCATGTCAATTGTCCAAAGACGTTCTGTTTCTGCCTTATTCAGTTTATGAAAGTTAGCTGTCGCAGCACCGGCTTCGGTAGAGAGGATAAAAGCATCTAACAAAACGGCTCGGTCAGGTGGAGCGCCAAGTAAATTCTGTTGCAAGTTCAGTGATGCTATATTGGCAGTAGCCGTATAGCCTAGCACTATGTCTGGAAGTGGATCCTGAATACATTCGATAGCTCTCTGAATTAGTTCTTTCGAACGCTGTTGTCGTCGTTGATCGGGATCAACACGCATCAATCGACTACATATGGCAGTTACTGGAATATGTCCATAATATACAGTTTTAATATTAAACACCAAAGTAGATAAAACACGATTGTTAGTAGATTGCACTAGTGCAAAGCACCATGATTCGCGATACTGTTTCATCGGTTGTAGGTAGTCAGTAGTCTCACAATGGAATAGAACAGGTAAGTTATCCTTGGCACCCATCGTTACGAATTTCCGATTCGTGTACTGACACCGTTGAAATAGATCGTGTAGTTCAGATAGATTTTCCTCATAATCGTTCATAGAATAAACGCGAAAAATTACATCGGATAATGATTCGGTCGCCATATTAGTTAAGTTCTCCTTGAAAAGAACACCGATATGTTTGCTAAGGGTATTACTTTGTTGATAAGAATATGTTTCATATCTTTTGTTCTAGATATCAACAAGTTCTTTGTCTTTTTGCTAAATTATTCTAAGGTATTTCATATCGAAGAACAAAACAACATAGTAATGTGTAAGCACTATGGTTTATTTTACGTGATCGGTTTCCATGGATCATGATTAATTCTGCCTATTCAAAAACATTGCCGTATTTTCATCGAAGTCTTGAAACTTCTCACTTGAAATATGTCACCAATATTTTATCACATTCAATTCTAGCGCAGCAAGGATTACGTATTCCATTCCTTAATCTCTAAGTACCTAGATTACCTCAATTATCCCAGTTACTTTAAACATACCGCTACCGGATACTCTAAAGAGGTTCAGGAGGCTATACCGTCGGAACAATGCAATAAACATAATGCAGTGACAATAATACATTATAATGTCACTCTAAGTCGGAAGTGAAAATAAATAGTTTCTGATTAAAAGAAACGGTAGTTACTTACAAGTAGCATTATAATCCTACTCTTACGCCGTCAAACACTATATACAATCATCAACAACTAACGCTAAAAGATGGGAAAATAAAGATAGCTATGACATGTAATTTGCCACTTTTCTTCCCACATATCTGTTTATCGTTTTACACGAGTTAGATTGCATTTCTTACAGCAGACAGACAAGAACGAACACACTAGATGTTCGGTGAGCTGACGTGCTCTCAAGAATTCACATCCTATCGACGGGTCTCCTTCATTTATTATGAGTAAATGTATGAAAAATCATTCGTTTATAAGCGCATTCACATTAAAATAGATTTGATTGTAATGCATATCTATACTCTCAGTTTTCCGTCTTGTGAGTGCTTAGCAAGGCATCGTTTGATTCGATAGTCCACAGCAAAATATGACTTCTTTGACCAGCTGACGAAAGCGCTTCGATGATGCAAGAAATATGAAACAATTCCCCTAGAAAATGAAATACACAGTGAATAAAGTGCATAGAAATCAAATTACATACAACATAGTACATGTATGCCATCATTGAGAGTATCGAAGCTGCCACGTATTCTTTTACTTGTCGGTCGACATCCTTGACGACCGAACTCGTGATTAAAGTATAAATATTAAAAATCCCATACGGTAGCAAACTAACAATGACCAATATCACGTGAATCAAGGTCATCTTGATTATTTGTTGATCAATGTGTAGTTCAATGCATTTACGTCTTTGTTGAACATTACGATACGTTAAACAGCCGAATAAAATCATTATGAAAACTGGTATAATACAGATAATACCAATCAGATACACTAATCTGTAAATATCATAGGCAGCATTCATGTTCGTACAAGTCTTCGTAACCGGTGAAAGATCATAAAAGAAAAAAACGGGAATGCCATGTGCACACCAAAAGATAATCATAATCACCGTAATTCGATGCGCCCATTTTATTTGGCTGTGATGTCGGAGGTAGACACTGCTTGACGTAGCCAAATATTGATCTATCAATGAGATCAATATTATAACCTACGCTTAGAATACGAAATGTCAAGTTAATCACTATGAAAAGAGTGTTAACTATCGAGCCGACAAGAAAATAGAATGTAGACGGATTGGTACGATAAGTACGTACTCTTGAGAAGACTAGGATATTGATTCCATTACCAATGATACCGGTAATAAGGAACAGATAACCAGTAAAGAATGTGAATTGCTGAGCATCGTANTCAGGAATTAATCTGACAGCAGAAAGTAATCAAGGCCAATTAGATGCTTTTATCAAAAATGGATAATGGGACTTAGAAGGTTATCTATTCGACTAGCTCCTTGTGTATTTCATATCAGCCTTCTCTAGAATTTTCTGCAGTAATCAGTGTATTGAAATATGAATGCTGTCCAACATTATATCCATTCGTTCTTTATACAATTCGAATTCGTCGATTTTCTTTGTACTATTTCTTCAACATCGTCGGTGAGTCAGTAGAAAAATCGTCGAATACTGTGCTCTCTATTTAAATCTATAGTTCCGTGTTTTCTGATCAGCTGTATGACAATTTTGGGATTTTTATTAGCACCGGACAGTGGTGAAAAACTAACGCTACGTAAATAAGAATCTCGCTTGTACATTATCATCTCTCTCGAATTGTCTTTTTATCTAGAAATTACAATTCTTCTCTCCGTAATTATGTTTAGTTTATTAATGTTTGAAATAATGCCGCCAAGCTCTACTGCTGTTCCAATCATCACGAAATATTTCACATGTATTATGATAATGTCAACGGTTTCGGTCGCAGCATCCGTTTTAGTTATCTCAATCCATTTCCGAAATGCCCACAACCATACCATGCCATTATGGGTAAGATGAAATCAAATCGTATATGTGATAATCTTCGAAAAATATATCTCTTTAGATCCAAAAATATATTTGTTACTATACGGCATGGCTATTACTTATGAAACATCCTCGGTATGATTTAACTTGGCGTGGAATACGTCAACGATGGAACATGCGAAAGGGAGAACTGAACGGTGATGGTGAATCAGTGACTAAGTATCGTTACAAATGTCGTTCAACACCGTTAGTGAATAATCTTTTTGAATTCTTACCATCAAAGAGTCTACCATCGCATCATCATTCACATGATTCAGCAAAAACGTTAAATGCCTATCAAACCGATTGGATCCGATCGGAATTGCGTATTATAGCTTCACATTTAGCTATTTTAAGTCGTCGTGTTCAACGAGAAGAAAAATACAATGAAGATTCAGAAGATTGGAAATTTGTGGCAATGGTCATCGATCGTCTTTGTTTAACCTGCTTTACTTTATCAATGATTGTTTTTACTGGATGGACTCTTCTTTCTGTACCTAGCATGTTTAAACGTGGCTAGAGCAAAATTTTGTATGCATTCATCATCGAGCTTTAACGAGACGATGTGCTTCGCTTACGAGGGAACATATTTAGGTGATTAAGCGATTTAGATCCCATCTTTTGGTGATAGATAGACCTCAATGAGGTATGAAAAACCTCAAGAGGATTCGTGCCCTCGCGCCTTTATTTCAAAGATACTGAGTTCTCAGGATGTATACGAAAAGAGACTGAAATGAAGGATGATCGTTTTTATAGAACAGTAGAGTTTTCAGGTGAAAACTTTTTTCAGTNAGGATAGAAGCAATCGAACGTGACGGATCATTTGATTTATTTTACGTTTTTGTCTTATTTTGATACATTCGAAATATACGATGACCGAAAAAGAGCTCGCTGAATCTTCGGATGAGAAATCGAGAAAATATATGAAGACTACTTTACTTCTTCTCAGTTGGTGTATGTTGGTAAGCACTCATTGTCATAGTAAGAAAATGATTTGAAGCCATTTATTTGAGGGCATGTGTGGAGAAATCATTGGGCCAACAATGACCATTCTCGCACACAATATACAGGTAACGTTCAATGGTATAGCTACAGTGCTTGCATTCGGAAGTGTTGGAGGCTTAGTAACAAATATTTTTTGCGGTATTTTTCAAAATTTCACTGCAAATTATCCAGAATTGATGCTAACGACGGCATTTCTACTAACTGCTTTGCGTAAGAATTTACATCGGTGCTTTCTTTTTAAATAAATTTTGTATACATAGTTATGTCTATCACACCATTTATCGGCTCATTATGGCCGATGTGTATGATATTTCTGCTTCAAGGCACTGCAGGAAGTTTTGCTAATATGGGTAAATAATTCCTAATAATATTGCATTTCTTTCAGGCGAAATTTCTATCCTTAGGAGGTACTAATCTTCTAATCGACATGTGGAAAACTCGTGTGGCAACACCTTTGAATATAGTTCATCTAGGATATGGATTCGGTGCGATATTTGCAAATTTACTCGTTCGACCATTTATAAATACTGAAGATGAATATCCTCAAGCTTTCAATACGAGTATCCGCTTTCCTTATATCATCAGTGGTTTCTTATGCTTTCTCATCGGCATTGGACATCTTGTAGTCTTTCTACAAAAATCACCTGAGCGAGAAGCTGAACAAACAGTTGTTGAGACAGTGTCTTTACAGTGTGATACAGGAAACGAGCAAATAAAATTTTCTGTCTATTCACCAAAAACATGTGGAAATGGCTATTTCAAATATGGATTAATACTTTCGTTTTTATTTATTATGTACATTTTCTTTGTCAGCGGGACGGATCAAGTATTTGCAAAGTTTTACTTTTCATTTTTGACAAACGATCAATTTCGTATGTCCAGCAGCAGTGCCAGTTGGGGTGTGATTCTTTATTGGTTGTCCTATTCAGTAAATATGATTTTTAAGCTATTTCTAATGATTTTTTACTACTTTAGATTGGTCGATTAATTTCTGCGATTTTATCGATCTTTTTACCAGTTTATGTTTGTTTAACTATAACTTGGTGCGGAGGTTTGATCCTAGCAGTAGTTTGGAACGTTTACGTGTGGGTTTTTGGTCTAACGATGGAAGGTCTTTTTATTCTTGGCTCTCTAACTGGACTGATTATTGCGCCGCTGTTTCCATTATCATTTGCGTGGTTCACTCAAAATTTAAACTTAATTCCACCATTACTTGGTGCGCTCCTTTGCGCGTGTGGCTTAGGATCTTTAACTTTGCAAAAAATCGCCGGTAATTAATAAATCGAACATGAGTGTATAAGAAAATATGCGCTTTATTTTATAGGTATTTTAATGGATGTAAATCAAAATCATTTTCCGACACTTTTGACTGGCTCCATTGCTGTAACGATGATGTTGTTCATTGTTTCTAATCTGGTCATATTTTGTCACAAGCGAACTGTGAAAACGCGACGAAATTCATTAATTAACGAAGATGAAGACGGACAAAACATGGCTGATTACCTAAAAGATTACAACAACGTGCGAAAAAACTCAATTATACTCTCATTTTAGTCTTTACTGTAAACGATTTCTTGCATTTTGATACCGTAGAAGTAGAGAAACAAAAAACAATATAGAAGATGATTTTAAAATACAGAAAGCAATCTGTTGAAACAAACACGACAAATATACTGATTGCTCACGTGAGCAACGTTTTCGCTCTAATTCGTTGAAATACTTGCACTCGCATATGTCGGAAGTATCGTCAATAAATACAGTAATTGATTAAAAAATCATCAATCATCGCTTTGTTCACTTATGAAAATTTGGAAGAAAAATTTCATTTATGCTATCCTTTATCTTTATAAAGACAACAATAGTTGGTCATATACGTATATATATCATGAATAAACAAAAAAAAACATCATCCTCTCAAGAAAATACATAGCACATAGAACTACCCAAGTTTTACTAGAATCCCATGTAATTCTGAAACGCAAGATAAACGCGTTTGGATGCGATTTATGCCGTGAACACATCCGAACGCATCTTATTGCCATATGTTATAACGCGTTCAGACCCGAATGCGATATATATTTTTTGGTCAAACGACTGAATCTTCTTTCGTTTACAGTTAAAACTGCATTTAAACGGACAGTAATAAAGTTTTTTAACTTCTTCTCACACACCTACAATATTGATCTAATAGAATCATTTTATTATCCTTCTCCCGTTGGATAACCATGTGTGTTGGTAGTGATTTCTTTTCACCAGCACGAAACGACGATCCAATCGACGTAATACTGTTCTTCGAATTATACCGTTGCATTCGATCTAAAATCAATTAATGGAGAATGTAACTATTCAATGCATAAATTCAATTGAATTCCAGAAGAACTTATGGAATAACGGTTGTTTATTCCGTAGGTTCAGTTTCCACTGAACATCCATTGTCTTTTATCTGGCTGCGATTGGTGATTTGAAAGAATCGGTAGTGTGAAGATCGGAATTTATCAATGGATTTATTTAATAAATGATAAAAAAAATTATCTTTTTTTTCGAGGAAAATTATCAAATAAATATTTGGAAGGTGTTACATCGATTCCTGACATGCACAACAAAGAACCTTCGTTGTTAACTCGATCGGTCATTGATCGAAATGGAAATATTCAAGTAAAACCTTTATTATATTGTCTAATAAAATTCGTTCAATTTTCTCATGATATAATTATGCAAAATAATTATCTGTCATCGTTGTTAACGATAACAAATCATATTTGTTTGTGTTTATACGATGATAATGGACGAATGAAAATGATCTTTGGTTTCTTTTCAGAGAAACGGAACGAATTTGTTTCTTTTTATTGTTTTGTGAAAAAAAACAATTTCTTGAATAAATACATGAATATTTTCCTCGGTGGTATTGCCTATTTGCTTGGCGAATAGTGACCATAAAGAATCGTTCACCGATAACAACGACGAAGGACAACCTGTGGAAAAGGGTTCAGATGATTAATGACACCAATTAATTATTTAGAAAACATAACGTTTTTTGTGCCATATTTTCCACGATTTTATTATCAAAATCTCTGTTCGATTTAGTTGAACTGTTGCATTTTTTGTTGAATGAAAATAAATACCCATGGCACTGATCTAACAAAACAAAGATATTAATAATCGTATTATGTATGTTGTTCGTTAATCCTGGTGAGATTTGGAATGCTTATGGAAACCTTTTAATGAAATATTTGAATTGTTGGAAAATAACCGCACAATGAAACCTTGTTGAGAACTTCAATGAAAAAGAAATATGTGACTTTTTCGTTGATTTTGTACATATTTCCTTGTCAATTATCCGGAGACATGTTCATCTTTACTATCCATGCTTTGATATTAATAAAAAAAAGTAGTAAAATTAATCTCATTCGTGATCAATAAGCCAAGATTTCCTCAAGAAGATTTGTGCAATGAAGGCAGTTTCTGAGGAAAAGATGAGTGTAAAGTGTGACAAAATGAAATTATTTTTGATTAATCAAATAGGAATTCGTTTATATAAATTATTTTTTTCGTAATCGATAATTGAACTCGAATATTATGTAACGCTTTTCCTTCAATAAATCATCAAATCTCGAATACATGTTCATATCTTAACGATAGTCTAACGAGCATATATAGCTCAGACGTAAGTATCTTGCTTTCTGTTCATATGTTCGTCTGTTTTAGTCTCGTTCATCGCACAATTCGAACTTGTCACGTAAGTCATAAAACTTGTTCTGTACTTTGCCTCGATGTCAGAGCTGACCATTACCTGATGGTATGGTGACGTAGTTCAAATCTACGAGTACAAAATAAGCCTTTTCTTTTCTCACTTCCTCTCGTATTAACCACGTCGAACATTCTCCTAAGAAAAAAGAATATACGAGCATGTGAAAATCATATGTACAATCGAATTGCTCGTTAAAAATAACTTTGGACTTTATGAAATCAAAAATCTACCAAATAGAACAACAGCAATACCGAAGAATTACTTTTAGGTAGACAAATTTTTTTGTTTAAATTTTCAATAATTCCGTTAATTGTACGATTGAAAATTGATTCTCTGAAAAGACATGTAATGTCATAAATTAACCAAATACTAGGGAGTCATCTGCTTGTTGGTTGAGAAAAAGTTCGTCGTTGTAAGCAATTGTCACGTTTCTTCTGCTGAGTGTGTTAGCTTTAACTTATGGTCAAAGTCTCCTGCTCGCTAGATGTTAACAGACTGGACAGAAAATAAACGAAAAAACTAAGATCTGTATCGGATTGGTAAGTATATGCGGTGGTCTAACTTCGGTTCTGACACTGATGAACAAAATCAATCGAGATCTTCGTAATGACGTCTATTGAAAACGATGAGAAGAAACTAGAAACGACTAATGTTTATCACAGTTCAGAAGGTCAGATCGCGGCATAAAATTCGTTAGTCATTGATGAATAGAATTTTGGCGATTATATCAAAATCAAACGGCAGATGTATAAACAAGTATAGCACTC